AACATCAATTCTATACCATTCTTGTCAAACAGGAGACCACATTATATCAGTTCAAGGAATGAATCCAAGCAAACAAATTCCAAGTATTTTTCTTCTTAATTAGTAGTTGTTTTAACCATGGTTTGCTTACTGGGATTCTTGTTTCAGTGCAAGAATTCTTCTGTCGAATCGTACCTAATTTCGGCCTTGATCCTCATTGGAATTCTCGTGGCTCTTCGCCTGCTGTGTCATTGGATCCAGCGGCTGCTGAAAAATGATGACTCCAGTAGCGATCGAAGCTCCAGTGAAGGGGTTGAGATGGAGCCACGAATTCCACGTGGCCTATTTTCGCATCACTCGTGATATATATCATAACTCGAACATCCAGTTTAAAGCGCAGAAAGACAGATATCAAGAATACTACCAGATGATCTTAGAAGAGCCCTTCTACCAAGTGATCAAAGAAAGTTTCACTTCTTTTATTGTTTAGTACTATCTGTCAATAATTGTTGTAAGTTCTTCTTTCCAACAAGAACTTTAATATGATATCTCATGATTTCGATCTTTATCCTTTGTATGCACTGTAATTTATCATATCATTCGCGCATTATCGACTAATGACTACGCATCACAAACTTCACTAATGTAACTTTACAGGACGAAATTTGATTAGCGCGTTTTTTTCTAAATTAATTACTGTTTCTTGAGATATCCTTTTCTTACTCATATTCTAGCAGGAAAAAGAGAAAAGTGATCTGAAAAAGTGAATGAATATGCAAGGTAATAATAGATGATAAGTATTCGACTACAATTTAAGGTTGAGAACGAGACTTGAATTCAAAACATTTATATATATGTTGTTACATAAGTTATAGTTAATTACTTATTTATATTTAGATCTTCAATAAGACTCGATAAGCAACCATGTCCTCAAGGCAGCACGAAACACCCGTGAGCATTCTGCGAGGAATCTCGAACGTTCCTAAACTGCCATACTTTAAGGACTCCGTCGTGGCTACCTGTGCAAATAGTGCAACCCTCATCGACGCTATCCTCCGATATGCGTTCAGGAAAGGCAGCCACACACCTTATAGGTCCTCTATGACCCTGAAGCACACCAATGCAAGCATGTCGACCATCTTGTTCCCGAATCCAAATCCGGCTCGTCCCATCAGCGGAGCCACTCACGATGTAATTAGCGATACTGGCCAAGCACATCACAGCATGAGTGTGCCCCGGAAGCGCACCACCATATTGCAACTGTCCGGAAAAGCACCCCTTTAGCCAGTATTGCACGTAGCCGTCCGTGCAACCACCGTACAGCACCCCTCCATCTACCGTTAGTGCTAAAGTTTTGACCGGAGAACATTTTGCCGTTACGGTGACAATGAGGGAATGGGGAGGATCCCCGTTACTAAAGTTGCGCCGCCATACTCTAACGGCCGCGTCATCGGATCCAGTGTAAAGAACTCCATCGTCCGCCACCGCAATGTCGTTGATTGGCTTGGGATGGCCTTGGATTGTCTCGATGCATTTGAAATCGGAGAGTCTCCAAACTTTTACTGTTCTATCAAGGGATGCTGAGTACAAAATGTCGCATGATACATTGATAGCCAGTGATGATATTGGCCCCATATGTTTCATCTGTTTGATTGATACAAGGTTGTAACAGTTTTTGCAAGTTATTTTGCAGGCCATGAAAAAATTGCATTTCAAGACATGTGACAGGTAAATATCATAAAAGTACCAATACTTGGACGATTAGTTGCTTGTCTAGCTTCTATCGATCATGTTCGGTCGAGTATATACCAACTCAATGAACAATTTCTAGTTGGGTGTATTCTCTTATAAATATACATCTAATAGAGGGTAGTAGACAAGTAGCTAGTGTTAAGATCCCATGTAAATTATTAACTTATTTCACTTTCATTTAGTACCACATTTTTAAATGTAGACAACTGTAGTGATAAGCATTTAAAGAGTCATAAATGCAAAATCAAAACCATATTAAATTACCATTTTGTCCTTGCCGCCGGTGATGTAGCTCCGGACGTAACCTCCGGTGTTCGGTATCGTTGCTATCCGTACGTGCTTGATAATTCCGTCCCAACTCCGGCGCCAAACCCTAATTTTGCAATCAGCGTAGGCTGCAAAAACTTTATCATTCGATACTTCTATTGCAACCGCTATGCATGCTTTAGTTTTAAGCTGCCCACATTCTGCAAACTCCGGCAGCTTCCATATTCGAATGACGTTGCCTTGGGAGCCGGTGTACGCGAGCCCACTGGACAATGCAATGGACAAGATTTGACCATCTTTTTTAAGTACGGAAGAAATGCATCTGTAAGTTGTGTGCAGGTCATGTAGTTTGGTGGGTGTGGAGGAGGAGAGGTGGTGGCGTGGTGGCGGTGGAGGCAGAAAGAAGAGAGGGTTTAGAGAGAGAGCGGTGGTGCTCAGCCGTGGGGGTATGCATGGGGGTTCTGTAAACGGTGGCTCCTTATTTGAAACACTTCTTAAGAAAATTTCGCTGTGGGATCCTCTGATTGTGAAAGATGGTTCTGAATTTAGAGGCTCCTGTGTTGATGATGCAATTTCCATCTCTCTTTCTCTCTCCTCTCTCTGCTATGTGTATTGAAGGAAGACGGCAACTCTTCAATGAACCTAGAATTCAAGGAACTTACCTCGGAAAGGGGAAAGTATTTTTGAGCCACCTTTTTATAGAATGAGAATGAAAAATATAGTTGTTATTGGGGCCCATGCAAGAGATAAGAAAATTTGAATTTAAATATTGATGTGATGGATAACGGTCATATTTTTCATTTTAATGAGAAAATAAGGTGGTCCAAACGGGGGCTTATTCTTGACTTTTGCAAAATTAATATCTAGCAACTCATTTCTTGTGCAAAGTTAATAGAAGATAATCAAATACTGCAATAACCAAATAATTAATGCACGAAATAAATTACGTGATCTAAGAATATGACTGCATCCACGACCCAACTTTAAATAATCTTTCATTATAATCAACAATAATGGATGCAATATTTTCTTCCCTAGATAACACAAGTGACAACTACATCAAGAATTCATATTTGGATAATGCTATGTGAGGTGTGTACACATTCTTTTACACCCCCTCACATGGAGGGGGGCCCACAAATATTTTATTGTGTGTAGGTCCCCCTCCATGTGAGGAGGTGTAAAAGATTATGTACACATAGCACAATCCTTCATATTTTGGCAAATTTTATAATTGATAATAAGCTGACCAAACTCTGCGTAAAAACCACAAGTTTGACCTATTTATTATATACAATTTAGAATCTGATGAAAATTTTGACAATCATGCTTCAAATTAGTTCGACCTTTTTGACCCCTTTAGAAGGAACCAATCGATCGTGGTCCATGTTGGGTCATGTCACTTGTTCGGGTCGGGGAGGGAGAAAGTGGCGTTGGGTGTGACATCTAAAAGTCCAGGGATCAAAATGAAAATTTTCTCGTACATTAGTCACCCACGTTAAAGTTGGGTTGTTAACAGTTAACTAATAATGTCTCCGACGAACAAGATGCTGGAGAGAGCAATGTCGACACGGCGCCCATCGCGACGGCGGAGGAGAAACCGGAGACGAATCCAAGACCTGGAGGCACATATCCGTCTCAATGCGGATCTCGAACCGCCTGCCCGAACCAGTTACCTCTTGCTCATTCTCATTTTTGGCCTAGTCATCATCGTAATATCTTCTTTTAACGAAGCATTATCGCGATGTGGTCTGCATCTCCGTCTCCTCCTCGGATCAAAAGTCGACTGTTTTAAAAGCTTCCTCTAAAGAAACTTGTTAATTAATTTTCAATCATGTGACTGTACCTTATTGGAAGTCTAAAGAGCTGAAGTTAAGCTCCCCCCATTTCTTCGTATGCTGATTAGTAAATTTCAGATTTATTGGGTAGTAGTGCAATGAAATCTTGGAGCTTGGTTCTGTTCATTGAGTAAATAAAAAACTTGAGTTTTCTCTTTTTCTGGTTACTTTTCAGTATTCGTGAACTATTCAAAGAATCGTTATTGCTTGTTATTGTTCTTCGTCACTTTCTCATTTGTTTGCTTGAGGATTGTTTGAATCAGCATGCCTTACGTTTAATGCAAAGATTATGTCATTTTGTTACATTTAATGCAAAGATTATGTCAATTTTAACCACAATAACAAGGAAATCACGTATTCTCAAAACAGCAGGTTTGTAGAGTCGGTACTAGACCTTTACTGGGAGCTACCCCCCAGTGACCGGGCCTTCACTGACTCATCAGAACATATATGATCCTGCACGTGCACCAAATCCTATTGTCGAAGACGGTAGATATGGCTTGGGTCGTCTGGACTTGACACTTCTGTATTTAATGGATACGCTCAAAGGTATACCTCCAGGTATCTGAACAAGATTCTTAATTTTAGCATATCTAGAATTCTAAGGTTGCAGTGCATATAGTTTTGATTCTGCTAATATAAGGTTCATTCTCATTGCTGTTCAATTTTGTTCAAAATATATGATTTTTCTGCTTTCTTCCTCGACTTTTACAGCATTCCTTGAATTTTTTTCATTTGTCATGGAAATTGGCAATTGACAAGCACAAGACTCAGCATTGCAATCAAACAAGCAGTCCATTTACACATCAATTTGAGTTGAAGAATACATATTCAGAACTTATACTACTAGCAAAACCTTTGGACTTCCGACTAATATTTCTGCTCGGAAGCAAGTACTTCCAACAAGACATACTAAATCTAAATTGAGATAAGTGATACAGAAAACCCTTTGGAGCATCACGAATTCCTCATTCTGATACCTCATGCCTAGCTTTGGTTCTTGCACTTCTGCATGGCCCTCGGAGCTGCAAACAACATCAGTTTATTCATTTCAAGCACTGTCCATGAGTTTATACGGAATTCAAAGCCTTTCAACCGTTGATGAATGTGATTAAAGTGCATTGCTCTATCTATACAGGAGACCGAAAAAGATAAATCAGCCGTTAGTCATACCTAGCCCGGTTGCATCTGAGCCTTTCATGATCCTTAATCTCTTGCAAGAATCAGTGAACATCCTAAAAGCAAAAGAGAACTTGTAAATTCTTAATGCTTAGGATATAACATTATGAAACACTGAATTGATATCAAAATAAAATAGAAACTTCAAACTTGCAGAAAATGTATACTAAGTTATATAGAACCAAGACTTACTCCCACGGAACATCACCAACAAGCATCCAGTCACCATCCTTATCTTCATACGTCAGCACATATTCAGAGCCATTGAGAAGATCCTTTAAGCAGTTCTCTCTAAGATTCGCTTGCCCGGGAAGTCCATGAGACTCATATTGCCCTGGATCACAATTGTGCAGGAAAATGAACCTTCAATAAGACATTAAGCCTATGTTTGGCTCATTGTTTCTAGGTATTTATAAACGCCTTAGTCAAAAAACATTTTTAGACAAACTATTTTTTTCCACACAATTCGTAGGATCCATAAATACTACTCACTTCTCCACCACTCATTTACCCACTCAATTCAGCGGAATTTTACTAAATTATATTAGTTAACTGAGCCATCTTCACTCAATGCATAAACGATGGCAAAATATCATGCCGGGTAAAAAGATTCAGAAGATGCTGACTACCAAATTCACTCTGTGACACGTGAAACGCATGAAGCTAGGTCACAACTATTAGCACGTTTGGCTAAGTTTAAAAAGTTCACTTAATAAGTAAGTCATAAGATAGATAATTTTTTTATCAGTCAAAATAGAAAAGAGTAACTTAGCATGATTGGAAACAAAAATTTACTTAAAGGTAGCTTTTCAAGCTATGGCCAAACATGCTAGAACCCAAAAACCTGAAATCGTTAATTAACTTTAAGTTGGAAGAAAGTGTCAACATGGGCAGAACTCAAGAAACATGAAACAAAATTTCAGATGGATATAGAAGTACTACACAGTCTGATATAGATTATAATTTTTGGTGTATCACCCTATCCAATAACAGATCTCATGAAAATCACATATGCATGTATTTACGGCATACAAATACGCAAGCAGGCAGATACAGAGACACGCTTGAGCAGCAAGAGAGGGAGAGTACCAATGGTAAAGCAACTAAACATTTTCCCAAGAGCAGAAGAAAGCTCTGCATAGCTGCAATAGGTTTTGAGATCGATCTTCCTCAAATATGGAGCACCATCCAAGCTAACCTTCACGTAAAGGCAGCTTAATCCTGATTTTCCCTCACCATCATTGTTGTTTTTAGATAAATTGGTGGCTAGGGTGTTCTTCCGGAAAGATCGAATTGGTGGCCATCCCACCACTTGTGCCCTGTTAAGAAACATAAGATTAGTCGGTTGAAAAGAAATTATCAAGATAAACAGAAGAATAGAAAATGGTTTTGCTAATCGATGTGAAGAACGAATTAGGTGCTCGAAGTACCTGATTCTTCAAGTTAACAGTAAACAATTTATAGATATAAATATGATTCAAAGAAATAACAGGGGACATGGATTATTTTACTGTTTAATTACTGACGTGAAGAAAATGAAGTTCAAGTTCAAGATAATGCTATTTGGAGAACTGAAAATTGATAGCCAACAAGAAGAAAAGAAACATAAACAAATTGTGAAAGAACACACACACACAAAAAGATAATAAGTACAAAGAGTTTAAGAGAAAGGCTAAACTCACTTTGAAGCAGGAGCAGTACTATTATTTTCATTCTTTTTCTCCTCAACAAGCTTTGCAGGATTAGGGTTTCCAATTTCTTTCCCAGAAGGTCCAGCTAAAGAACATTGCAAAGTATTGGTAGTTTCAGAACCACTATTTCTCAAATCAACTTCAGATCCACCCTTCAGAGAAAACCCCCATTTTCCAGATCCATCAATAGCATCAGAAAAAACCCTTTTAGCACCTGAAACGAAGTTCTTCAAAGGGATTTGTGAAAACCCATTATTGCCCTCATCTTTCAAATCTTTCCCAAAAAGAGAAACCACAGTTCCAGCCTTTTTTCCAAGAAAATCTGAACCAGGTAACCCCAGTCTCAGCTCAGTTTCTTTGAGGTTCAAAACACTGTTTTTCTCGCTTTCTGTAGAAACAATGGAGGAAGAAGAAGGATAAAGGTAACTTCTTCCGAGACAATTACCTATATAATCATGTTCTTCAGGGAAAGACATCAAATTTAGCTGAACAAAGAAGGCACGAATGAACACTAAAAAGAGAAATCAAGAAAATTATTGAATGATACTTGAAAATACAGAGAGAGCGATTTATATTTTTTCCTGCTTTGGTGTCCCTCCAAAAAGGGCGTGGTGCTGGTTTTTGTTGATGCAGAAAGGAAGCTTCTTCGGCCTCTCTGTAGCCCTTTGCTTTTGTTCAATCAATGAATTTAAAGCAAAATAATTTTTGGAATAGTTTAGGTTTACAATGAACAACAATTATTCCATTTGCTTCCTTCAAAACAGTATAATATAGGCATTGGCAGAATATATGTTGCAATTGATTTACAGAAATTGTCTCTATCTCTATACAAAAAAGCATTGATTTACAGTAGGCACTGAACTTTATTTTTTATAAATTTTAAATTAATTATAACCTTGTTTGGTGGGAATTAAAATAAAAATTTTAGTAAATTTTTTATAAAAGTTGATTAAATGTGTGATTGAAAATTTGTGAATAATTATCGACTTTAATTTAAATTTAAATTTGGATTTTAAACCCTACTAAACATGGGTTTATATATATATATATATATATTATCAATTCACGTCCAATTCATATATTCTCAATCCTTTCTTTTTATTCATTGTATATCTGATATTTTTCTAATACGTTCATTTTATGATTATTTTGCCATTCAATATTTGGTACTATGAACTATAAACGTTACAATAGATAGTTAAATATGCTTATCGACGTTAAGCATTGAGACGCTATTCATTCAAAGCAGTAGCATGTCTTTTCACCTTGGTAGTCCTATGCATAGTTAGAATTTACATACTTAGTTCCGATTCCTAGGTTAATCTTGTTCGTAATGGGATTTGAACTCAAACTTCCTTTTGGGAAGATAGATGGGACGATTTACATAGTAAATATTACTTTTTCGTTTTAGTTTAAGTACAAGAAATATTAGAAAAGTGAAATGAAAATATAAATGTATGTGTCCCAACATGAAAAGAAAAAAAAGTAGCTTTAGCTGTGTTTTGTCACCTTTTCCAATCCGGCAAAAGTGCTAAACCCACCGACAACTCAATCAGAATCATCGGCCAATGCCTTTAATCATTATCCTTAATTACTTGTATTAATGAAAATGTTAGGCTAACATTGCTTGCGTCGATTAACGAGCAGCGCATGTTAGCGAATGGAATCAAAATGGAACCGCACAGAATCGTTTCGATGGTGATAGCATATGATAAAGGCGCGCGATTAACTGCATGAAGACAGCGATCAATCGACCCGATAAAAACACGAGTAAAAGCGGAAGAAACAAAAACAGGTTCCGTAAATCTGCCAATTTTGAAAGCTAGCTGCTCCGAGAATTTCTTGGATTTCACCAACAAAACAAAAATTTGCAAAATCAAGAGCACGATTTGGTTTCCACTTTCCATCATAAGTTGCTTTCTTAAAAAATAAAATACTATTTTAGTTTGGTTTGGTATTAACGTAAATTTTAACCGAATAAGTTATGTGCTGAAAAAAGAATCAGGAAGGCTTATAAATTTCAAAATAGTGGCTTACCCACTTTTGAACACGTCAAACATGTTCGAAGCGTGACAAAATTAGGTATTACAAAATTATAAGAGTAATATTATTTGTAGTCGTTCACTATCATAATCGTCCTACGTGGCAGACACGTAATGGTTAGTGATTTAATGCATAACCGTGATAGTTTTTTATTACATCAATTAATTAACAGGCACATGTATGCTACATAGGACGATTACGATAGTAAGTAACTGCAAATAGCATTATTCAACTTGTAATAGCATAATTTGGTTTCGAGAACAATATGTCGAGTTCAACTACTCCAATTTAAAATTCTTGATACTTCAATGCTTGATTTATTGAGTTTTTGTTCTACTAGTAATTTATAAGATGTACAAGTGACAGGAAACTCAAGTTTTAAATCTATACATATTCTAGTAAAATGTTTTTTTCATTAATATTTCAACAATTACAGTTGAAGATTTCTTCCACCCCTGACACCAGAAGCGATTCTTTTAATTCGTAGAAGCGTAATTAAACTTTAACAAAAGTAAGTAAGAAGAAGAAAATAAAAGAGAATGAAATTCGAGGCAAGTGAAAATATTTTCTCTTTAAGAAAATATTGTCCCGCAACAGTGCTAACGGACAACGACACTTGTCACCTAAGATACAACTCGTGGTAGAAGCACTTCAAACGACAAGCAACAACGAACTTGGAATGAAATATTCTCTCTACATGAAAAAGGTTTTAGAATAACCTTTGAAGAGTATATTGCAAAAGTTTTCAATGTATATGATATGTGATGCATAATGGACGTTCAAATGGTCATTTATATAGAAGATGAAAGGTTGTGAGTGAAATGTCGCACCCCAAACTTAATAACATTTGCCAAATGTTGCAACATTTGCTGTAGTTAGTTGTCACTGATCTCTCGCTCGAGTAACAGTGACATATTTTCATTAGAGCTTCTCTCGCTAGTCTGTCGCAAGATTGTCGCTTGAGCGATAGGCAAGCGATGGAGATAGTCATTTTCCAGCCCGTGCATCATCTTTTCTATTTAATTTTGGACCGTAATTTCTCATTCATCTGGAAATGATTTTGAGATTTCAAATATACCACGATGATCTACTTGATGAGTAGAACAAGTTAATCTATTTATACTCATAATTTGATTATCGGATCAAGTTCGAATATTTGATCGAAGTTGACACGAAAGTCACTTTTCCATACTTAATTTCATTCTCTAAACCAAATTCCAACGATGCCTAACCATCTCCTAATTCTATTTTCTTTCAATCAAAATAAAATGAACCACTCAGCGTGGTTGATTTATCAAAATTAAACAAATGTAAGCCAAACAAATCGCATGCAACATTATAATTTCTTGTTTGATAAAGCTTTTGTTTATTAAAAAGTTAGTCATAATTTATTTTTAACCGTACATTTCACTAACGAGAGTATCCAAATTTCACTTTACCTTTCATTGAACCCACAAAATTTGATCTACTTAGCAACATCAACTAAATTGAAATTATCGTTGAAGGAGATTGTGCAAACAAACGCTAAAGATCATAAATTTTGTTGCAAAAGCTGACACAAAACTCAAACGTAGAACAATTCGACCAGACCTAGTTAAGAAAATATCGTAATTCAACTTCAGAAAATTGTCCCCTGTACTATTTCTACAGTTTCCTCTTTTTTCATTTTCTTTTCCAGGCTGTATCTACTGTAATTATACTGTAAATCCCAAAAGTAAACAAGCGTGCGGATTTAATCGAACGGCCTCTATGAGGAGACGACTGAATGGCTGAGATTTGTACATGTCATTATGTGCGGTAGTTAGGGGACATAACGGCGCCAGGCCGTTGAGTTGACGACAGTGAACTGCAATAATTGAGATATTGACCTAACTAAGCCTACTTTTCTTTTTTAATTAACGTTCTTGACTGTTACCTGAAACCGGCTGCTTATTAGAAAAATATATATTTGAGCTAATAATTGATCTTTTACAATTGAGCAAGGATTAATTGAAAAAATTATTTGAAAGAGCAGGATCATCTTATGCCCTGTTCGTCTACCATTATTCGATGAAAATAAGTTTTAAAATAATAAAATTTTGAATGATGTATGGTTAAAAAAAAATCGATTTAGATGTAAAATATTTTATTGTGAGAATGTGTAGTAAAAAATAAATTTGAGAAATTTAAAATAATGATAGACAAATAGAAGATGAATAAGAACTTGTAACCAAGTTCAAATTGGGAATTCCAAAACTTGAGTATTGTTTCCTATGTGGGGTCTGCTATCAAACATCATCATGGTTTAGACATGATCATCACGTCCCCTCGAACAGTGACGTCTTACGTCCATCTTCTTTGAATGAGAAAGATTAGAGACTTTATCGAGATCTTAATCTTCTCCATCATGTTAGCATGTTTATTGACATAATCGTGAAATCTATAGTCATCGCAATTAATTGGTGAGCACTCCTTCATTTTGATCTTCAACTTGTGTTAAGTGAAATTCAAAATGATAGAAAAGCAATAACCCTTTAGTTATCTACATTGTTCCATGACATCAAAAGTTTCTTAATACAAATTATTCTTAGCTTTAGTATTAAAAAAATGTTTATTTACGAATTAAAAAAAAAAAAAAAAGAAACAGAATCCACAATCAATATTTTTTAGTGGATCTCACTGTGCTCAAATTTCACTTTTACCAAAGTTGGCTTTGAACTTGACTCGGTCGACTCGACCCTAAGTTGGGTTTGGAATGAACTTTGTTCCATATACAATGTATGGTGGACTTTGAAGATAAACATGTAACATAACTTCCTAGTCAATTTCATAGAGCACTTTCTAATTGGAATATCATTTTTTTTTTTATTAAGGGTGTCAAGTATTTTCAACAAAATTTAATTCAATAAATTAATTCGGCATATGTTAATATTAAAATAAGAAAAACGTAATTCATAATTGTCGCACGAGTTAAAAATTGAATTGTCACTAGTTATATCACCTGCCGTCCAATTCATTATCCTAAGCTTGTTACTATGATATACTTAAATTAAATTAATTGTAACTTAAATTATTTTCTTGATTTTCTCATTGTTAATAATTTTGTCGGAAATAGTCGCAACATTTGTGAGTAGAATTTCCATTTCTAAATACATGTGAGCAATCTTTTTCAGTGGCTGCAACCCATGACTTCCCCGGCGTACTGGGTGAACCAACTGTTCCTTGCACCTTCGAGGTGGGACCACGTCAAATTCGCTTTATCATTTTTCTTATAGAAATAATGACAGTCTAAAATACGGATACTCAACTTACAAAACCAACAAGACGAGTGTCGAAATTAAATGCAACAAATCTCATCTCAGCAGGTAGCTTTAGAGTCGGGTGGAGCCACGGACAATATTTTTTTTTTCCTTCTTTTGTACTGTATTAATATTTTTACTCGTGAAATTTTAAATTGACTTGGAGCAATCTAGGTTAAAACGTCTCATTGCCACGTTTGTTTATTGCTACTTAAAATTTCGTGTAGAATCTAAAATCTAGCCATACTTTCCACTTTCTCATTATTTTACATCTCTTATCTATTATTCCATGGTTGAAGATCATAGGAGGATAAGATGGTGACACTTAATGGAGGTCCTATTCTCTGCTGCCCACCATTGCTACAGTGTCCTCAACTTGCCACCTACTAGTTAAAAATGTAATTGGTTTGCCTTTCTATTCATAGGGTTTTATAGTCCCTTTGATTCAAGTTAAAATATTATTCCAAAATTCTATATGTTGTGGAACACCATAACAATAAGATGTGGTCCATCTTGACTCTGATCAATGGGTTCCCACCGTTGGATGGAGCACTGAAGTTGATGTGCACTCCTTGTAAGTTCTATTTTCATGGTCATCATGGGTAGGGAAAAGAAAACGTCGGTCCACTTCATACGCTTTACGCGTGTAGGATAAGATGTGATAAGAATTTACGAACATAGTATAATTACACAACACGTCGTCTATTTTGCCATGTGAAACATCTCCAATTTTTTATTAGTAAAAGTTGAGACGATATATTTTTCAAAATCACGAAGATAGTCTGGGTGTATTTAGAAGTGTAGAATAGATTGGGTCAATACAGTTTAATATGATTCATTACCTTATGATTTGTGAAGCATGGATTAAAATAGATTGTATTGTGGGACAACACACGGAAAAACTCAAGTTTTGTTTAGTCTAGTTTGTGAGTCGTGTTGACATTAGCGAACCAACTAGATTCGTACAAAGTATTAGGGTCATTGAATTTATAAGGAGAACATGTTCAACAATCTTTAAAGATATTTTTAAAATTTAATAATAAAACATAATAGAAAATTTTTAGTATCATATTCTCTATATCTATTTATCATCAATATACATGTTCAGGGGCGAATCCAGGTTTTGAATTCAGCTAGGGCGGAGAATGTTGACCGTTGACCGCGACAATCAACGATCATAATAGCCCGGTCGTTTATTAAAACTCGATTAAATAATATTAAAAGTTATTTAATATATAAGTAAATACACTAAAACATAAAAAATATATACATATAAAAATATAATTCAATACAACTCAAAATATTAAAAATAAAAATAAAAATATACGATACAACCTTACAAATTTATATAACTGCATTTTACTCATATTTTAAAAACGTCGTAACAGTGCCTCATTTTCAAGTTTTCTGAAAATAATTGATTTCACTGTCTTAGAAAAAAAATTTGGCCCAACTTCTTTTCTCAATTAATTTTTTCTACTTATCCTAATTTCCTAAACATAAATTCCCAAATCAATTCAAACAACACAATTTACAGACAATATACATTCAACAATCCAAATAGAAGTAGCCAACAAAATAGAACA